ACTTTTTTCTTCTACTGCACTACATCTCAGAGGAAAATATCAGATTTAGATTAATTTATTGTCTATTACATTTACACAAAATGGAAATTCATCTTTGGCACTTGCATACACACACTTTACACAACGATTCATACAACAATACATAAATATTGTACTTCTTACCCCACTACATTTGTTTGACAGCTTTAGTAACTAGTTTCAGATTACAATTTTTGATGCCCTTCCTGTTCAGTGAAAACCATGTATCTCCAAAAATGCATTGTCACTGTTGACTTTACTCGTATGTGAAAACTTACTTGGCAATAAACCTGATTCTGATTCTGCTTTTAGAGATACGTGGTTCTTCCAGGACAGCCACACTACAAACATATGATGATTATAGAATATGATGCATTGCCATAGATTAAACTACCCAACAGTATTTAAAGTAGTTAAAACTAGATCAACCTTAAAAATATTAATATATATAAACATCTTCATTAGTAATATTAATCCAAAAACATCAAATATAATAGTAAAACACTGACAGGGACCATTTTACTGCATAATGAGTACTTTTCTTTTAACAATACTTACAATACTGAATGCAGGACTTGTACTTGTGGAGTATTTTCACAGTGTGGTATTGCTACTGCTCTGAATACTTCTTTCACCACTTGATATATTATTAATGAGAAGGATGATACGTACGTCAAGACTGCCATTGATAAAATAAAGATCACACTGATAGTGATCTTTGGCTTTCAGCAACTTGTGTTTCACCTGATACACGCTCATGTGGCTCAGCTATTGACCTGGGAAATTAGTGCCTTGTTGAACAAAGTTGATGGTGTCTCAAAGAAGGTCTGAATGGTTTCTCTAAAGTTTTTAGATTCTGCTACTTTTTGCATCCTGTGCAAAACAAAATTGTAATGCAAGCAGTTTTATGTTTTTGGGAGGAGGTGAACAGAGAACAATTACATTTTCATCAGAGGAGAAATCTGGTGGACCAGAAACATTGTAAAACAAACATCCACAATGCAAAAAAGACAATGCACTCTACATATATACATTGTATGCATCTAAATCAGTGAAAGAAGAGGAGCTGGATGTGCCAAATTCTCCCCTCACAGCAGCTCCAGTAAACTAGAAAGTGCTGCATTTTGAGGTTTGACTGACGGACTCACCTTTCACTTTTACTTGAATGAAAAGTCATATTTGTTATTCCCATTTCTCTTTACCAGAACATCCAGTATATAATAACTATTATATAAATGATATAACTAATTCAGACCCAGGTTGTCTGTATTCAAGAAATCTAGATAGATAGATAGATAGATAGATAGATTGTGAAAAAGGAGCTGGTTATTGTGCAGTTGTCCCTCTGCATTGTATTCTGTGCTGTGTGTCATTAATGTAATTAACCATTATTTTTTAAATAAAAAGCATCAGATCTAACTTTTGCTTTTGGTTCCTTAGTGCTGATGGGAGAGCCAATCAGAGGAGACCACAGGCAGAGAGCATATGTGTGACCGTGAGCCCCGATGTGTTCAGGACACTGAGACAAACAGGTCTGTCTGTCTTTCTGTCTGTCTTTCTGTCATACTTCAAGCACCTGTATCTCTGTTTTGTCTGTGAAAAGTTATCTAATGCTGGAGCTTAACCTTTCTAGGTGAAAGAATCACAGGAATATAGATAAGCAGCATTTAACCTGAAGATTAATGGCCGCTACTTCAGACTGATCTTTGGAGCAACCTGATAAATGAGAAATGTTAGAGGTTTTTTCATGAAGCTTCATGTATCCTTGAAGGAAACCACAAGCCCGAAACATCAGGTCTTTCTTCAGCTGTGTCTCGATTTTTGAGTTGCAGATGAATGAAGGGGAACTGCGCCTTAAACTGCGCCGTCTGTTTACAGGTTTTAAATACTCAATGTCAATATGGGAGGGTGGAGTTAGAAAGAAGTGAGTTTATTAGACCTCGGTGGCCTCCTCCTCATCTCTTCTTAAGGCTCCATTAGCTGCTACTAGCATAACATACCTGAATGTGCAGTAGAACTGTCGTCAATGGATTTTTATTATGGGCATCAGGATTTGGGCAAAAAAAGATGATATATCTGGTTCTGTTAGATCGATTTTAAGCCTTTATTTAAAAACCAACAATGTTATAGAAGTTTGTTGCTAAAATGGAGGTCTCTTTTAAAAAAGTTTGTGTAAAGTAAAATGTCTTGTCTTTGTCATTGCATATTCAAAGGTTACCTTGCACCTTTGAAAACCCTAAAAACTTCTGACCAATCACAGATTTGATCAACCATCATAATGAACCAGGAGTCACCCTTACCTGTAAAAAAAAAAAAAAAAAAAGCCACACCCAAATGGAAATAGTTTTAATTATTGTAAAATCTATCTTTTTCTTTTTCGACCTTTAAACAAAACCACCCTCAATGTTGCTCTAAATTCTCCCCAAACCACCTACAACAAACCTGTTCACCCTGTATGCAGCAGCAGCTAAGAGAGAGCGAGAGAGTCAGCCCATTATATTAAATCTAATCATATTCAACATGTCGGTTTCAGGTCACGTTTTAAGCCCTGCAACAATTCTCCGGCGACATTCAGCCTGTTTTATTCTCTAAACGTAGCCTGAGTGCTCTCCTCTGCCGGTCTCAGATGTCTGAGATGACTAACTGGTCATTTAGGAAAAACACCCATTAAGAAAACATCACTGCTTCTTCCTCACTTCCTCCTCTCCTCCATCCTGCTCTCTCCATTTTAATAATTCCATTTTTCGGGTGATTAGCAATTGTCTCGCTATCAAATCACTCTGTCGTTTGATAATCCGGACTGTAGGCTATTGGGGGGAATTTGCATCAGCTTTTTAAATATCTGTATAAGGCACGCTGGGGTTTTAATGTCAATCATAACCTTATTAACACAGAGCTCAGAGCAAGAGAGATCGCCATGAGTGACAACAGTTTACATTCGTTAAAACCCAGAAAAGGCGACATGTCCGACCCAATGAGTGAGCATGTAACCTGTTCAGGCATTCAGCCGAGTGTGTGTGTGTGTGTGTGTGTTTATGTGCTGTAGGGCTGCCATGTGTGATTGTGCATGTCTAATGTTTGGTTGTTGTACTTGTTTAAAGTGTCACGGCTGGTTTACAGGAACGTCAAACATCCTCCAACATCTTCTGTCATTTGATTTTGTTCTGCAGGAAGCAGTGAAGGTGACAGAGACAACAAGAATGTAAGTTGATTGACCCAATATTGACTTTTATTTTGATTTCTGCCGACAGAATTCACAAGGCTGTACCATGTCTGTTTGTCAGAAAAGTTATCTAGAATCATATCCCATCCTAGCTCATAGTGTGTGTGTGTGTGTGTGTGTGTGTGCAGTTACTGTCCTCAAGCTCATATTACCTTAAAAATTCATGATGCTGAAGGCTTCAAGACTTGAGCTTTCAGGTGTGAATGCAGGATAAAGAGGACGTGGTGCAGTGTAGCACAGTACAGATCCTCTAAAAGCTCCATGTGCTGTATTTACATTCACACACTGCTCAGGTTTATAAATCGTAAAATTTGTCTTTGTTCTCTCTCAGGAAGATGAAGACCCCGGGATGCTTCACATGGTCCATTTGGGAATGGTTTAAAAAAAAAAACTAGTAACAAGTAAGATACGATAAGAACACTTTATTAATCCCAGTGGGACACTGGAGAGACACAACAACATCTCACAAATAACAGGCTCTCTTTGTCTGTACTTCTATATACCAAGAAGTTACCTACCTATATTACCTGGATTGAAACTCAAATGCTTATCATTGTACAGTAGATTAATATTTATGATAAAAGTGAATTACTACATGAGTATTAAATGTAAATACATTAGTTCTGTATTACCAATTTTATCTGTAATTTGTACATTTTAGACCTGTTTTAGTATATCTGTGAAATTTCAGTCAAGTTAAAAACACAGAGCAGCTCCACAGAGGTTATTTTCTCTCTTATTGAAGTCTAAACTAAATGAACCTTAAAAGAAAACAGTTACACCAGGTTGCCTTTAAAAACATGACAGAAAGTGTTTTAAACCTTGCCATTAATCAGCCTGAAAAAATAAAGACTTCCATTATATTTCCATCACCACTGATATTGAATGTTCCAGGCTTCCTCTGTGTGAGTGTGTGTATGTGTGTGTGTGTGTGTGTGTGTGTGTGTATATATGTGTGTGTCGGCCAAGATTACGGGCCACAGTTTTATTCATGAATAGGAGCCAACCAGCGTCTTTAAAGCATCGCGCGGAGCCCCTTTCCTGAACAGCAGCCATAGCCGTGTCAGAGCTGTCGACGCGCTGCGCTCACCGACTAATCTGACAGCGCCGCGCGAGCCCTAATCCCTCACTGTATCGTAATCTATTTACTTTGCATTCTAAGAGGATTTCCACCAAAAAATATACAAGAAGCGATGTTGGAAATGGACAGAAGATCAGTGAGGATGCTTTTCTGCTCCTTTTTTTGTTTTGTTAGCTTTAAAAAAAATCATTGTATGTTTTTTGGGGAGTCAATCCCCTGCGAGAGGGATGGGTGAAAGGAATTACATTTCTGACTGATACTAATACTTCTCTTATGTAAACATCAAAATGTTATATTTTCCTTCTGATGATACAGTCACACTGCAGAGCCTGCTGGAGATAAGTGGCATCTGTCGATGCCTTTAGTGCATCTCTTGACACGTTTATAATTTACAAACCAAGGCTGCATTATCTCCTGATTGTTTGACTTGACAGCTTGAATAAAAGCTGCAAAATTGCTTAACAGGCGAGCACGAGTTCCTCCCATCTCTCTGATGGCCTACACAGTAGCCTTTTTGACATGCAAACAGTGAAATCTCCTCTTTCATAATACAGAAAACAAAGTACGAGACCGAATGCTCTCCTCAGTTACCCTTTAAGCAATTATGTCAGCTTTGTAAAATCATAAATAGTTATGCTTCATTTAAAATGTGGCCAGCAGCTTTATTGTAAAACACCGCCTCACGCTCAAATCTTTGCCATCCGAGATGACTCGCAGAGATAGGCTTATTAGTGGTATTAACATACTGCGCGGCATGCTGGAGCTGTGAAACGGCCTTGTTAACATTTGGAAATGAATCAAGCCTCCAGCACTTGCTATTATCCAGGTTATCTGTTTTTTTCTCTCCTCTGTGCAACAGCTGTGCTGTGTTTTTGTGGAAGCTTTATCACATCTAATGATGGCTCTGATTGGACTGATACTGTTTCCCCTCAGGGGGAGGTTGTATGTTTTATAGGTTTGTTTCACTGATCTTCACAAGCCAGATCCCCAAAATATTATAGACAAATATGTCCGGACCATTAAAGACATCAAAGAGACATAATTACTTACAAATAATAGTAATTGGAATTATCTTGTTCCCAGGAAAACTGAATAGTGTTAAGTTATCAGTCATCATTCCAGTCAGTGAATGAGATGTACTTTGCATAAATATCATGCTACAGTTTTTTCATTAAGAAAAGTACTTAATTACGGTGCAACGTATGCTTCCTGAAAAAGCCTCTTTAGACAAAAACATTATAATTTGATACTCTAAAACAACTGCAGATTGAGATCTGAGACAAACATCAGCACTCTGCTGAGACTGAAGTTAGGATAAATGTTATATTCATGGTTAACCTTTGGTCAAATATCCTCAACATGAATGTTCTGATGTGTGTCCAGAGATACCAGACCAGAAACTAACACTGTTTTATCACTGATACTTCCTGACTTTGACTTATTTTATGAGAATTTCTTATGAACATAATTTGATGACGTTTCTGAAGTCTACTACCAAACATTTGCGTTACTTCTGTCAGCTGTAAAACATAATTAAATACAATGGATTTACATCTGCTCCATGTCTGTGATTGATCTTGACTCTATGAGGATTTCTGTTATTGGATTTTTATAAAGGTTTGTTGTAACACAGAGTTAGACCCAACTGGACACAAAAATAACATCACTATGAAGGATAACTCATTGTTCATTTCTTTGTCTTTAAATGACTTTTTGGCAAACAAAAGAAATATATATAATTTCTCATGCATACCCCATAAAGCCTAAAAAACATTACATATTTCCTCATTCGGAGACACAACAATGATTTACGGTCATATCTGTGTTTTATTACCTTCATTAAATATGAAAGCCCGGTTAAGTTAAGGATCACCACCTTAATACTGTGTATTAATATATAGCAACCATACTACCTACAGATATATCTTCTGTATAGCTGATTTACTGAAGTAGAAAATATTTGCAAATAAATTACCTCACAGTCAGAGAGAGCATTATTTCTTACATCTTCATCTGTGATTCCTGTTTGAAAGGTCAAAGGTCATGAGTAAGGTTTAGATTTTTTTCTATCAATAACCACACTATGTATTTTCTTAGCATGTTACACATCAGCCAACTTTTCATAAGACAGATTCAGACGTAGTTTTTCTCTCTAGTTGCTGCCCTTTGGCTCCGTATGTTGAGAGAAATTTGTCAATGAAGAACAAACTAAATGAACAAGGAAATGTGGCCAACACGTCTGACAGCAATCTGTTGACACACAGAGACAACGTCCTCGGTGGGAAACACTAAAGCCTGCAGGCCAACAAGCCTCCGTTAAGCTTTCCCATGTCTGCAGGGCTTAAGGGAAAAGACAAGTTGGGACTTGGGACGAGGGTCTGCTGCATCCTTTCCAGATGAGATAATACAAGACCTCTTCAGATACCTTTCTACTCCATCCCTTCTTACCCTGACGTTGCTGATTTAAAAGAGAGAATGCCATCAGGAGGGAAAAAAGCATCTAAAGTCGTTCGTCAGGAGTTATTCCGTCCAGAAAAAACTCTGAGCTACTTTCACCAGTCCAGTCTTGTCTGATTTCCTATCAGCTACTTCAAAGAAGGAAAGAAAGACGGAAGGAAGCGTTTGGCTGCTCCACTGACTTCAGAACAGCTGCTGGACAAATCTTTCTTTTAAACTGATTTACTGTTCAGTAACTTGGATTGTGCCAAAATCTCCGGTATGTCTCAGGTAGATGGTTCAGTTTAGTATAACCCAGAATATGGAGATAAACCTTTTAGTGTTCTACAGTTTGCATTATTTTTAGCCATGCTTGTCTCTTGTCTGTAGGGATGTTGATCTGTCAGTCCAATACTTTAGTCCAGTCTGAAATATCACAACAACTATTACATTGTCATGAAATTGTATACAGACATTCAGGATCCCCAGAGGATGAATCCTAATGATTTTGATGATCGCCTGACTTTTTTCCTCTAGCGCCACCATGAGCTTCACATTTTTGGTTTTGAATGAAATGTCAACAACTATAGGATGGATCAACATCCATGTCCCCCCATTATAAATTGTAATAGCTTTATCCAGCACCGTCGTCAGTTCAAAAAGTTCATTTGTCCAATACTTTGGTTCATAACCAAAGAGCTGCAAAACTAATCAGCCTCAGTTGTATTTTGTGTTTAGTGCTAATTAGCAAATGTTAGCATGCTAACATGCTAAATTAAGATGTTGGAAGACAGCAAACGATGTACCAGCTGAACTTTAACATTTAACACTGCCATTCTGGCTGCAAATAACGATTATTTTCATAATCAATAAATCATTTCGCCTACAGTTTTAAATGTCCATCACAAAAACAAAACAAAACCCCCAAAATATTCAGTTTACTATAATGTTATGCTAAAATGGAGCAATTGTTCACATTTGAGAAGCCTTTAGAAAATGTACTTTTTTTTTGTTTTTACTTTAAAATAACTCAGATCAAAACAATTGATTATCATCAATTATTGTCATTGTGAACATGTTAAGCTGCTAATATTAGCATTTATTTTTGCATTTACCTGCCCCACAGAGTGGTAAGCACGGCTTTAAACACTTCCAATAACCTGTAGATTTATTATGTTTACCACTGAACTTCGGCCTTCAGTATAATTAAAGTCATTAACAAATCAGTAAAGTAAAAACATCTTTATGCTATGTGGCTAACTAATCTACGAAAGCGCTTTGTACATTAATTGTTACTTTAGTTATGGGTCTGTTTTATTCCATTTTCTTATTTAATGCCTATTTTACTGAGCCTTTCAGGTTTAGACAGATAATTTAAACCAAATGCAAACACTGCAAAAGGTTCTTATTGTTTCACTTTTAGGAAAATGATATTCAGCTACACACCACAGAGAGACGGTGTGTCGTCCTGACTGTGCTCATCTTAAACCTACAGTATGTAAACCCACAAGGAATTTCATGAATGCTCTCAGTGCCTTGTGTCGTAGGGGTGACTAAGCTGCTTTCAGTCCACCAGCTCTGCTGTGTTTGCTGCCTGGACTCAACTGTGAAATCCCCTCAGAGGAACCAATGGTACTCTCACCTTCTTTGAATTTTGATGATGGATTCAAGAGGTTGTTGTTGACTTTTTTGGGGGGGATTTTAAGACAAACCTTTAAATGTCAGACCCGGAAACAATTCAAAATGACAAAATAGACGTTAAAGTCTACTGCAACTACCAGTTTTATGTGTTAAAACAAGATGCAAGAAAAAAAAAAAAGCTTTTCTGACAAAGCAGAGAAACTGGAGACGGTGGCCTGGACTCCACCCATGTCGGTGTACAGTTGACCCCAGATTAACCTCCCAGGTAAATTTAATCCTCCTCTGTATCACCTCTCACTCCTCATACTGGCCTATAAGGTCTGGCGACAGTCGACAGCCAATGAAAGACAACTGTGAGTGTTTTTTTTTCTCCTGTCCTGCATGGAAATGGAAGGCAAGAAAACAGTCCCAGCATGCAGGCTGCTATCAATGCATCTTGTGGTCCTTCAAATCTCTTTCTCTCACACACACTTTGACTTACCGAGGCCCGTAAGGTCTCACAAATCTAAATAATACAGAAGGATCAGTCCGGTTTCTGTCTCGCACGCTGTCTTTATCTTTCTGTCTGTCTCTGTTTCTCTTTCCTAGATACGAATCACAACCACTCATGCAAAAACGGTCCAGCTTGGTTCCAGTTCATTTCCTGGACAAGTGTGAACAAAATGTCAACAGTTTCCAGTCCACCCACATTCAGACGCCCTCACTGGATCAGGCAGAAGGCCAAAAGGTCGACGGTTGACAACAGGCGACGTGGTGCAATCGATCGTCCTATTGAACAGAGTATGAAGGCGTTAGACCCTCAGTTCAGGTTAAAACAACAGTTGTCACACACACACACACACACAGGTTTAAGTGATAAACTGGTTCAATAGTGTGTGTTTTTTTATGTAGTCAGTGGTGATTTGTTTAATTTTGAAACCTTGGCTCCTAATTGTAATACTCTAACAACATTTTAGAGGCTTTTGTCACCTTGAAAATAATGAAATACTGTTGAAAGAAGTGATTACGTGCAGTTTTTGGTGAGAATATGTATTTTCAATATCGGTCACTGTGCTTTAAAAAATATAGTGTTGAACCCTGTGTGAACATAAAATCTTCTGAAAGCACTCAAAGAATTTGGATCTTAGAAATGTGTGACAAACAGATAAAATATTTGCCTGGTGCGTTATATCATCAACTTGATCAGTCGTAAACCTTTTCTAAGGTAAGGAGGATTTTTGGTTCCTCCCTGCAGCTCAGGTGAGGCCAAACACTTCGGCATCAACATATTTACTTTTCTACTTTAGTTCTCAAGCTGTTGAAAAACAAACCCGGATAAATATTCAGTCCTTACATTTAAAGGACGTTTAGGGTCTGAGGAAAAATATAAAACTATTTGGATTTGTTCTTTTGTACAAGATAAAATGTTCAGTACATTTATTCCATCTTTTCCATCTCGACAGGGTTGATAATTATTTCTATCCAGATTGTTCATGGGTATTTACTGTCAGGATCCGTTTCAGGGCTCATTTTAAGATACCTGTTGATTCCAGGTGTGTTTTGATATATTTAATATATTGTAGTGCTATGAGTGGTGCTCAAAGGAGCTCCTAAAAGTAAACAAAGTTGTGTTTGATTTGAAACTTTTACAGTGAACTAACATGGTTAAAATTAATTTTAATTTAAAACTAATGTCTCTACATCTATCTGATATCTGCCAGTTGGCAGAAATCAATAAAAATAAATTAATAAAATAGATATAAAGAAAATACTAAATTGAATTCGTAATGTGTGTTTTCAGGTTGTTTCTGAACATGGTTGTTTTTCTTTGTTGTAGCATGAATTTCATTTTGTTTTTTTTTGCTTAATTTAAATATTTCTATCCAACTCATTACATGTTTATCAAACATCTCTGCATGTTTATGGCGTTATTTTCACTGGCATTCTGTTCTAAGACGGTAAATTCCTAAATGTAATCCCAAAAAATAAAAGTACCAGCAGCTGAAGCATGAAAGAAAAGTAAATACAGAGCGAGGCGCCTCTTTCACATTAGAGTCTAAAACAAATAACCCTAACCCATCTGATGCAACAAGCATGGTTGGAAAAATATGAATACCGACTAACAAGAAGATGTTTGCTCCATAAACAGTAATAATAATAATTTGCCTGATAAAATAAGTCGGATCAAACTATTTGTATTATATTTTCCTCACTTTAAACAAGACGCATAGTTTCACCTGCAGCTGTGGTTGGTTTAAACAACTCTATAAGTTTATATAGGCTGTAAATGTTACACTGGGTCCTGTTTGCTCCACAATAACACTCCTCATTTATCATCATCATATCATTTAGTTTCTTCCTGCCTTGTTCAGCGTTAATCAGCCACATCTCTCTCCAACAGCCTGTGCGGGATTTTAGTCTTTAAGGCTCGTTCAGGCCAGAACTTCTCTCATCCTCAGAGTTTCATCCCTTTATCTTCTCGTGTTTTATATTGTATTTATATATTACAGCCCTATATGCATCAGTTTAATGAGTCCAGCTGTGTCCTGAAGGCTGCAGGGAAACATGCGTGTCTGCTGCAGCTTCGCGTCCTCGGAGGAAACATTAAGTAAGGGATCTCTCCTCTTACTCCGCGCTCTTCATTTCTGTGGGTGTTTGAAGGTGAGCAGCTGTCTCATCATGTGAGACCTGTAGCTCTCTCTCAGACTCCTTAAACAATCCCACAAGATTGGTCGCAAATGTTTGTTTGATGCAAATCCGAACAAATCCGCCGCTGTTCGTGGACACTTGGCGCAAACATGTTTAATGTGCTGGTTGGCAGATATTTATTCAGCTGCTGCATTTGCATAAAGAGAGAGAGAGAGAGAGAGAGAGAGAGAGAGAGTTAGAGAGACAACACACGGCTGGCTTGCAGCTGCTCTGTACAGACCAGGGAGAGGCTACATGTGTGTATTCCGATCAGGCTGATCAATCTGATCAGGAGAGATTATCGATAGGATCCAATACAAAAATGCTTTTGTGACGCTGTTTAACAATGAAGCAATGTAATAGACTTCTCGCGTGGTTTCTTTGGAGGATTTTAAAGGCAACTAAAGGTAAATACCCAATATATCGCTAGAAAAAGAAAAAGAGCAAACCCCAGAAATCAGACAGAAGCCAAAACTTCTCTTCAGCTCCCGGTGTTTCTCTTGTTGATCATCCTTGTTGCTCTAAAGCTGTTTGACCTTTAAAACCAAAGCCTCCCCCCAAAAGTTAACCTGTGATGAGCTGTGAGTGATTTCTACCTTCTCAGATTATTCATTGAATATTTTCAGGCCCTGAGGAATATCAAACTCCTTAATATTTGAGAAAATGTTTAGTTTATGTCTGTTTCTTGTTAATCTTATGATCCCTGCTATGACTCATGGGGAAATTACACTATTAGAACTAAAACTGAAACTTAATCGATCGTTACTTTCAAGCAAAAAAGGAAAATTTTGCTGCTTCTGAAACAGATTTTTTTACGATTTCCTTTCTGTGATAATCAGTGAATATGGTCGGACTAATAAAAGCAACGCGAGGCCGGGCCGGGCTCTGGGACTGGGATGAACGCTTTACACACACAAAACAATGAATCTATTATCGAGAAAATAATCAGCAGATTTAACCTTTAATGAAAATAATCGTTAGTTGCAGCCGCTAATTAGAGGCATAATCTAATGGCTTTCTCCCGAGGCCTAATTTATTGTCCAAAGTCCCGATTTCTGTTTATTTTCTATTTTGAAAAAACCTCATTTGTCTTGATTAAAAACAGGCCGGGGGGCAGAAAGTGCGGCGTTACTGGGTCTATGGGGGGGGGGGGGGGTTATTTCTTTGCACAAGGACGCGGTTTTATTGGGGCAATTAATTTGTTTTTATTGCCTCCTCTGCTCTCTGTGCGGCCTTCACGGCTTCAAAACATGCTCGTCCAAAACAACCTCGCCAGAGAACTGACGCGATATGTTAGTTTATTCCCTCCCCTCTCTCTCTCTCTCTCCTCTTTTATAATGCGTTTATGCTTGCAGGCATAACACACACACACACACACACACTTACATCTGACCCCCTAACCTGGCCCCACCTACGTAATTACCGCATCAGAGGCAGTGAAATTCCTGCAGGTTATTTTGGAGAAACCAACTCAGGGCGCAGGAGTAATTATCACGCCATTACAGCGCCGCATTCAATTACGCCTCGATCAAATGTCTCCCGGCTCAATATTTAGGGCTTTTTAACGCCGCAGTTAAAAAAGACACTTGCTCTCCCTAAAGCAAGGGGAGATGTTAGTGTTTCAATTTAAACACGGAGACAGAGGATTAAACTGGCTGCTCTCTCAAATGGAAATGCGGGCCTACACGCGTTCACGGCTCGTATTAATTATGGACTAATTTGCATTTACCCCGTTATAATTAGGAAAAAACAAAATCAACAAGCTTTTGAATAAAAGTATGACTAATTCAAATGAGAGAAAACAGGAATCTTGAGTTTGTAATTTGCTGGTGTACATGCATCTAAAAAAAACAAAAAAAAAAAAACATAAACCAACTTGACTCCCTGCTGGGAATCAAACTGAGACAGAATCCACTGTGGAAAATAAATATGACTTAACGGATCTTTATTGGATGAACATGTATGTAAGGGTGGTCGCCTTAAAGATACATTCAACATCTCACTGTTATTTTGGAGCTATAAATCCACATTTCCTCTCCAAAAATAATAAAAATGCTCTGACTCCAATATCAAGCCAAGTGCTGCGTTTCAAACATGTCCAATATCACCACAATGCCCAAGAGAGGAGGTCTGCTTTGAAAATGTAGAGGCTAGAATAATAATATCCGGAAAACAAACCTGGACAAACGCCCAGAATAGTTCTGCATCTATATTTTAGATTGAGTTTTCCAAGACATTTCAAATTGCCAAAACAGATTTTTTTTTCTGAGTAAAACAATGTATATAAAAGCTGAACTTTATGGCCAATTTGTTCTCTTTGGAAAGATTTACATACAGGTTTTTTTTCTTTTTTTTCTCCCAAAGTGGTAATAAACAATTTCAAATTCGGAAAAACACCAACTAAACATGGTCACTGTAACTGACCCAAATACATATTTACATATTTCAGCTCCTTGACGTAGCTGACTAAAAATCTCTGTCATCCTAAAATAACAAATTTCAGAAATAAAAACTATACAGGATTTAATTGGGTTGGAGGTAAAGAGGGGCACTGCAGGCAGTTCCTGTCGGTGCACCAGAGGGGAAAATATTCCTCCCATCCAGAGAGCCAGAGAGCTGGTGGTCAACGGAGTTTGGTTGAAATTACTTTTTTTTTTTTTTTGAAAAACAGTTTGGTTTTCTTAAGATCATCCAAGAAGGGGCGTCTTAAAAACCCACTCTTCATTGTCGGGAAACTGCTCCTGATGTTTTCTCTTCACAGGACTTGAGGGACTGTTTCTCATCTTTTTTTTTAATTTTTTTAATTTTTAAAAGACGTGGAGGACGAGAGGGAGGAAAAACAAAGTCCGATTGCTGAGCATTCCTGCTGCTATCTTGTCATCTTATGGTTCATAAACTCTTTTTGTCTTTAAAAACAAGCAATATGCTAATCTGGAAAATAAAAGAAGAGGGAGCAGACAAGCAGGGAGGGAAGGAAGGAGAAAAAAAAAAAAAAGAAAAAAGAAGCCTGATCACAAGACTTGGAACCTCCAGGAGGCCTGGTCTTTGTAGTCCAAGCAGTCTGTGGTGTTAAAGTTGAGCTTCCACGAGGAGGCTGCAGTCTGCTCTTTGTAATCCAGGCAGTCGGAGGAGTTGAAGGCCAGGCTGGAGCCGCCGTAGGCCTGGTGATGGTGGTGATGGTGGTGGTGGCCCGACGACTGGCTGATGTGGTGGTGCGGGTGGCCTGACATGGAGGAGGCCGTCATGGGGCTGAGCTGGTGGGGGTGGTGGTGGGAGTGCATGGGGGCCAGGTAGGAGCCACAGTCCACGCCGCTGAAGTAAGAGCTGGACGGGGCGGGGTAGCCCTGGCCGTAGCCCGGCGTCTGGTTGTAGGACATGGGGTAGGAGGTGGCGGCGGTGGCGGAGCCTGACATTGAACGCTGCATACAGGAGGCGTTGGAAGGGGGTCCAGGCTCGGGGAGCGGGGCCACGGCGGGAGCGGGAGCGTTTCCGGGGGAGATAGCTGGGCTCCAGATGGAGGAGACGGTGCTGATGGAGGTAGAGGTGCTGCTGAGCGCCGCCGGGCCCGTGTGATTGGTGGAGGAGGATGAAGACGAGGATGAGCCCGTACTGGAGACGGCAGGAGGCGTGAACTGGCCGCTGCTCTCGGAGCCGGTGCTCTCCCGGGCCGGAGAAGACTTCTTCTTGGGCGGCCTGGCTTTGGCACTGCTGCCGCTCTGCTGCTGCTGGCGACACTTGGCCCTCCGGTTCTTGAACCACACCTAGAACCCGAGAACAGCAGCCAGGAGTTAGCAACCGTACACACAAACAACCTCAGCATTTCATACAAAAAGATACTCCCAGGCCACGCTGGGAGTACATTATGGAGGAAAATTGGGGGTTATTAGCCATCAAGGTTCATTTCCACCCCGGCCCCTTGGCTCGGACCAGCCAGGGGTCTAATTTCATACCTGGTAGACGGCTCTAAGATAACAGGCTATTGGGTTTCACCACACAGTAGGGTAACTCTAGAGCACCGAGAGGGTAGGATCATGTAGAGCATTTTGTTTCACACACACATTCTGAGAATAACTCAAATTGTGTGTGAGAGAGAGAGAGAGGGGCCTGCCTTGGTTTTCCCCTAATGCCTTTCAAGAGTAGCATTTGTTCAACATCGTAGTACACCAGTTGTTTGTGGAGTCTTTGCTGGCGTACTCCTGACCTCTTCATTATGCATCCCATATTTCAGATCAGATTACACAGCCTTCGGTTAGATTGCATCAAATAATAATGAAATCCTCAACTGATTCGGCTGAAAACCCGGCCTATCAGGACTATAGTTTTGTTTACATCAATTTGGACAAACTGCTGGATTCCTGCATAAAATAAAAGTTGTGAACCAGGGAAGTCAGATGGAAAAATTAAC